ATAATCATAAACAATATGAAAGACTTAGTCCTACCCGCGCCCCCGTATGTCCCACTGTCAAATCTGGTGACGAGTACGTGGCTCCGGTGATAGTCAGTGTAGTTCAAAAGGCAAATCCAAGAGTTGACAAAACGATGTAGGTAATCCAAACAGAACGGGAAAGTAATCCAACTGTTTGGATTACAAACGTTCAGAGTGTGGGCAGAGCGCAGTGGGTGAGTGCGCTCTCCCTCTCCAGCAACCGGGCTCTCCTGCCGGGTCCGTCCCGAGGGTCTGTACAGTCCGCTATAGTAATCCCCCCCCCACAGATCTCCGACTCAAGTCTCTCATGGCAGGTCTCTGATGAGCGCTCCCTCCCGGGACACGCCCCCCCCCCCCAGTTCATTCACTAAACAGAACTGTCACATTAGGCCCAAAACATAAACAAATATACCTAAACACACATTAACACATTTTAAACATTTGTGGCTATGCTACAACTGTAATTATCCTTTTTTGATTTTATTCCTTAGAAGTGTATGCTGATTTATTATGCCTTACTCTATTCTCTTTTTTCTGACTGTTGCACTGAGCCAAAGCAATTTCCAAGTCTGTGACTTCCTGTTACTTACGTGGCAATAAAAATGATTCTGATTCTAATTCTGATCTTTAACTGGCGGCCAGCAAGCTGAATCCGGCCTGTTGAGCCGTTCGATCCGGCCTGAAACTGTACTCCAAAATACAGTATGTTATAATTTATTATCATTATCATCCTTGTTTTCTCTGTCATTCCCCTGTTTTGCAACATTTTTGTGATATAAAAAAAAAATAATAATCAATGACTGGAAAAGCCATGTTCCAGCTTCTTCCCTCTGGAAGAGGATATCATTCGTTTTGCTAACAGCTTTTTTCTTCAAGGTATTATCAGTTTAAACAAGACACTTTAAATAATCTTGCCTTTGTATTGAAACTATTTTAGTTGATGTTTAATTTGGTGGCCATACTTGCATTTAAGTTAGTAATTTCTTCATATAGCGCCTTTCACAAAAGCGCTTTACAGTTGTCCACAGAGAGAAGGGAGTGAGGTCGCTAGTGCACGAGACCTATTGTGCATGTTTTTAGTGGTAGGGAAAATCGGAGCACCCCGGAGGAAACTCCACTCAGAAAGACCCTGCTCCGACCAGGATTCAAACCAAGGACCTTGTTGCTGAGAAACAAGAGTGCTATCCACTCAGCCACCGTGCCGCACATGAAAGTTGGTCAGTGCTGTGATGAAAGACCTCTGGAAACACCAGCCACAGTGGGGCGGCTGAGGCTGTAAAGTGCCAAACTGTCGTTATGTGCTTAGGCAAGACACTTCACCCCCATTGCCTATAGTTTAGTTTAGTTTAGTTTATTTATTTAAGATGACAGGGACAGTGCATAAACATTCACCTCAAAGGGAGAGATGCATTGTACCAGGTTATAGCTCAAGAGCTAATTTCCACCTGTAGTCCCTGGGCAGGCTGATGTTATGGTATTACATTAAAAATAACACACAATCATGGATGTAGTTTACATTTGGCTAAAATACAAGTCTTTACATGCACAATTTGTTTAAAACTCACATTCATATCACTCATTTATACAGGTCAAACACACACACTCTCCCCCCCCCTCTCTCTCACACACTCACACACACTACACATGAGTGCAAGTTTGGTTTGATAATAACCATCCATCCATTTTCTTCCCTTTAATCCATTTCTGGGTCAGGGGGGTGGCAGTCAGAGATGCCCAAGTCTCATAGCACCAGCCCCTCACTGACCCTCTGCAGGTGGTGAGTCCACATTAGGACGGCTGCTCTCTGAGTGTGAGCATAGCCTTGATCTTTTTATGATAATAACCATTTCCTTAAAAGGCGTGAGAACATGTAGGAATTGGTGCTTGCTATCAGCTCTGTGGGAAGCATATTCCACTGACGGGTGGTCACAGGAAAAAGCAGAGTTTCCAAAAGCTGTCCTGCGTTTGAGGATCCTACACTCGCCGCTCGGTGGCTCTCGTGGCTCGTGTTATGTCTGAGCCTAAAGAGATGAACTCTTTCAGTGGAGGAGCAGCGGTGTCATGCAGGATCTTATACAGGAAGAAAAGATTTGTGTGTTTAATTAAGTTGTAAAAGCTTAAGATTTTATGTTTTTTAAGGATATGACAGTGATGGAAACGTCTGCTTTTTTATCGTGGATTTTTAATGAGTTTTTATAAAGTGACTCAAGTGGCCTCAGGACAGATTCAGGAGCTTGAAACCAACTTGTCATACAATAAAGAAAATGGGGAACAATCATTGCATTATGATATGCTCCTGACGCCTCTGTTGTCAGTGAATTTCTAATGTGTCGAAACTGTACCATATTATATTTAACTGTATTTGATAATTTCTTTAAATGTTTTGTAAAACCTAAATTTGGATCCAATATGACTCCTAAATACTTGTTCAGCTATTGCAATTTTTTGTCCATCAATTAAAATGCTTGGACAATTGGTAATTTTACGAATTTTGAAGTACATTGACAGTCTTGTCTAGATTTAGGGTGAGACATGAATTTTTAAGCCACTGTGTAACTTTTTTCATCTCATTGGTCAGTTTTTCTGCGACCTCTTCTGCAGTTTTGCCATGGGCATACACCACAGTGTCATCAGTGTACATAATAATCTTACTCTTACACACAGTCGGCAGATCATTTATGTAAAGAGTGAACAGCAGGGGGCCCAGAATGGAGCCTTGTGGAACTTCCATGCTGCAAGGTCTTAAGGTGAATTTATATTGTTAACAGCAACACATTGGTGCCTGTCTTTGAGGTAAGTTTGAATCAAAGTTTTAGTATTTATGTCAAGAGAAAAATTAGACAGTTTGATGATGAGAAGCTCATGGTTCACAGTGTCAAAAGCCTTTCTCAGGTCTAGAAAGACTGCCCCAACTATTCCTCCTCCATCAAGACTGGATTTAATGTCTTCCAGTAAGTAGCAGCACGCAGACTCTGTGGAGTATCTTTTCCTAAAACCAAACTGGCAAGAATGTAATGCATCAGTGTGGTCCAGATGCTCCACTAGCTGCTCTGCTACCACCTTCTCAAAGACCTTGGAGAAGGCTGGAAGGATACTAATAGGCTGATAATTTGAAACACAAAGCTTGTCTCCTGACTTAAATATCGGCTTGACAACTGCTTTTTTGAATGCCATTGGAAAAGTATTTTCACTTATGGCTTGACTCACAGCTTTTGTTAGTGCTGGAGTTAGAGTCTGTTTGTGTTCTTTTAAAATAGAGTATAGTGTCAAGCCCATATATATCCTTTGCTTTACTATTTTTCAAATTTGATATTATTTTGAAAATGTTGCCTTCATCTACGCTCTGTAACCTACAATAAGATAAATTGTCATCTTCAACATAGTTAGTTAGTCAATGATTCCATTGATTTTGACCTGCAGATGCTCCTGGGGTGCTTTTCCCTCAGAATCAGAATCAGAATAATTTTTATTGCCACGTAAGTAACAGGAAGTCACAGACTTGGAAATTGCTTTGGCGGAGCAGGGATGGCAGGATTGTGTTGAAGGCAGAGCTGAAGTCCACGAACAGGACCCTGGCGTAGGTCCCCGGGGAGTCCAGGTGCTGTAGGATGTGGTGGAGGGCCAGGTTGGCCAGGTTGTCACCTTACATTGTGTGCACCATGTGCACTGTATATTGTATATAGTAATTGTAACTCTATTTTAAATTTGTTCCGTAGAAGTGTTTTTTATTCTCTATTTTTTCATGCCTCTCTACCCTTACCTCTCTCTCTGACTGTTGCACTGTCTGTGACCTCCTGTTACTTACGTGGCAATAAAAATGATTCTGATTCTGATTTGTACGCAGATGACAGCCTAATCTATGTGCCCTTTTTCAAGAAAATATACAATTTTGATTATTTTCAAAATACAAATCAATAATGAAACTATTGAAAGAGTAGAGGAGTTCAAGTATCTTGGAGTACTCATGGATTCTCATCTTAAATTTGGAGCTCATGTGAAAAAGATAACAAAGACTGTCAAGATCAACTTGAACTGTTTCCGTCTAATAAGATCAAAACTCTCAATCAGTGCAGCCAAGCTGTTCTTCCATTCAATGATCCTGTCCCATTTTTCATATTGCATCACTGTGTGGGGCCAAGCTAACCAGTCCACCATGAAAGGTTTGAACTCTCTGTACAAGCAAGCTCTGAAAGTGCTCGATAAAAAGCCCACTTTGTGGCACCATTGCAAAGTTCAGGAAAAATATAATCTTTTAAGTTTTGATAATTTTATAACATACTTTTTTATTAAACTAGTCTTTAAATGTGTAAACAACCTCGCTCCCAATATCGCTGCAGGAATGATTGAGAAATGTGTAGCTCACAGGATGACCACTAGGGGCGCTGCCAATAGAGACTGCAGAACAACAAGATGTAAAACATCATTTGGACAGACTGCGTTCGCAGTGAAAGGGCCACAGCTTTGGAACACGTTACCTGCAGAACTGAAAGCCCTAACAGACTTGAAGGAGTTTAAAATTAAAGTCAAACTATGGCTCAAAAGGACCCAAACTTGTGAGCATAATGCAAGACTGTAATCATTTATAGTATTTTTTTTATTTTTTATTGTATTATTTTTGTATTTTGTATTGTATTCTTGTTTATTGTGTAGTGTATTTAATAAGACTCGGACAGTGATCACATTTCGTGACGAACTTTACTTAGCCAACAACCTGTCTGTCAGAGGCAACCAGACAAAGCGCATGCGTAACAAATGGACTATACCAAATCTCCAACAATAGGGGTGAATACACCACATCATCCCCCTTTTAAAATGGAACAATATTTTTGTATTCAAATTAGTGCAGTAGTAAGCTTGTACATATTAACAATAGAAGTTACCAAATAATCATGCCAATAATCAAATAACAATTATCTGATGTACAACTGAAAACAATATCAGAATATGTAGTATTCAATGCTATTTTAACTGATTACTTGCTATTCAAGGTATCTATTTGGTTTTTTGCGAACACGCTCAGAGCGCCTCACAGTCACTGATGGTGGTTCTGGAGGAACTGATGGTTGCACAGGCAAATCCACAGTCGTCTCAACTGGTGTGTCATTTCCGGTATTTTGCATTTCTGCTTCAAAAGTCTCAGTGTCTATATCGGTCTGTTCAGGTGATGCTCTGGCACGTAGTTGGTCCCCATGACGTCTGTGCACCGTGTCAGAGTCTCTCTCCTTGACTTGATAAGATACTGGACCAGTTTGTCTCACAACTTGTCCAGGAATCCACTTGTGAGCTCCTCCCGCTGTGTTGCGCAGATACACATACTCATCCATTTCAAAAGTGCGGTTCTCAGCTGAGTAGTCGTGTTGATCTTTTTGTTGATATTGCTTCTTACGAACAGTCTCTTTGGTGTTAGGCTTCAAGAAATCCAGCCGGGTGCGGACGTGTCTGTGAAGAAATAGATCCGCTGGAGACTGACCTGTTGTGCAGTTGGGGGTGGTCCGGTACTGTAGCAAGAACAGCGACAGTTTGTCCTCGATGCTACAGGGCAGGCTGGCAAGTTTTTTCATTCCTGTCTTGAACGTCTGAACATATCTCTCTGCCAGACCATTTGTTGCAGGATGCCCTGGTGCACTAGTTGTGTGCAAGATGCCATTTTGTGTCACAAAGATTTGGAACTCCTCAGATGTGAAAGTAGTTGCATTATCAGTCACTATCTGTTCAGGAAGTCCATATGATGCAAACAGTCTTCTCAACCTCGTTACTGTTGCTTGAGTTGTTATTTGTGACATACGAAAAACTTCCAACCACTTTGTATATGAATCCACGATGATCATAAACATACTGTTCAGAAAAGGTCCTGCAAAATCTATGTGCAGTCTCTTCCAGGACTCACCTGGAAACTCCCATGGGTGGAGTGGTACTTGCTGTGGCATTTTCTGCTCACGTTGGCATATTTCACATTGTTTGCATACTTTTTCAATGTCAAAATCCAGGTTAGGCCACCAAGTATATTTGCGGGCTAGAGCCTTTGACTTCACTATCCCCTGGTGTCCTGAATGTATTTCCAGCAGCACTGCTTTTCTCATTTTTGCAGGTACGATGACTCTGGTTCCCCACAGTACACAGCCTTGCTCTGTGGAGAGTTCATTCCTTTTTGTATAGTAGACCTTTAAATTCTCATCTGTGAGAGCGGGCCAACCTTCCATCACAAACTTGTACACTTTTGACAAATCCGGGTCAGTGCGTGTTGCTCTTGCAATTTGAGTGGCATTTAGCGGCGCTTCATGTAAGTCAGGGGTGTCAAACTCATTTTGGTCCGGGGGCCACATACAACCTAATCTGATCTCAAGTGGGCCGGACCAGGAGATGCTCTACAAAAATATCCAAAAACGGTACAAAGTCCAACTTTTTGTGCACATAAACACATTTATTTAAAACTTCCTTTAAAACACTGTCCTTTAATACTCAGTTTTCTGTTACAAACTTAAATGTAACAGTGAGTTTTCCATAGTACAAATAATGTAATGTATTTACAATATTACATTGAAAATGGTATTTCACAATATGTATATTAATATTTGTATGTTAGCTTTGTTTTAAGGCTCATTACAGAGAAAACCTGCTCACAAAGGTAAAGTAGGTAGATAGAAAAAAGCACTTAAACACAGCACCTCAGCTTAACCATCTTCAGTGTGGTCAGGTCCATGGTTATGTTATTATCACATTAACCATCTTCAGTGTGGTAAGGTCCATGGTTATGTTATTATCACATTAACCATCTTCAGTGTGTAAGGTCCATGGTTATGTTATTATCACATTAACCATCTTCAGTGTGGTAAGGTCCATGGTTATGTTATTATCACATTAACCATCTTCAGTGTGGTAAAGTCCATGGTTATGTTATTATCACATTAACCATCTTCAGTGTGGTAAGGTCCATGGTTATGTTATTATCACATTATCCATCTTCAGTGTGGTAAGGTCCATGGTTATGTTATTATCACATTAACCATCTTCAGTGTGGTAAGGTCCATGGTTATGTTATTATCACATTAACCATCTTCAGTGTGGTAAGGTCCATGGTTATGTTATTATCACATTAACCATCTTCAGTGTGGTAAGGTCCATGGTTATGTTATTATCACATTAACCATCTTCAGTGTGTAAGGTCCATGGTTATGTTATTATCACATTAACCATCTTCAGTGTGGTAAGGTCCATGGTTATGTTATTATCACATTAACCATCTTCAGTGTGGTAAGGTCCATGGTTATGTTATTATCACATTAACCATCTTCAGTGTGTAAGGTCCATGGTTATGTTATTATCACATTAACCATCTTCAGTGTGGTAAGGTCCATGGTTATGTTATTATCACATTAACCATCTTCAGTGTGGTAAGGTCCATGGTTATGTTATTGTCACATTAACCATCTTCAGTGTGGTAAGGTCCATGGTTATGTTATTATCACATTAACCATCTTCAGTGTGGTAAAGTCCATGGTTATGTTATTATCACATTAACCATCTTCAGTGTGTAAGGTCCATGGTTATGTTATTATCACATTAACCATCTTCAGTGTGGTAAAGTCCATGGTTATGTTATTATCACATTAACCATCTTCAGTGTGGTAAGGTCCATGGTTATGTTATTATCACATTAACCATCTTCAGTGTGTAAGGTCCATGGTTATGTTATTATCAGAGAGAAAGCATCAAACTGACCATGATTCACTTGAAATGAATAAAACAACTTCCATAACCAAAGCAAAGGAAGGTTTCTCACCCATCATCTGTACTTCTTAGCAAGTTTTACTTCCATAACGTGATCCATTCTTAACGACTGCAGCAGTGTCTCTGTGTAAAATACAGTCAAATGTCCAAAAATCATCACCTCCATTTGCAGCTTTGTCACTACACCTGTTTTTACCATCGGTACCAGTCCACACTGTCCAACACACCAGCAACAACAGCAGAACCAGCAGCAGCACCAGCAGCAGCGCTCAAAACTGCTCTGATAGTTTCAGTAACACCACAAATGAATATGTGACATCAGTAACATCAGTCTCTTATCAATGGCAACATGTTGGTTAAAGCGAGTGGTTTCTCAGACCATGTCTGCAGCCTGTGAGAGTTTTAACAAACTCTCTCTCACTGTGCGGCTGCGATGCTAATGCTAATGTTGTTAGCACAGGTAGCTTCCCTTTACAGCAGCACTAACCTCTCGCTCTGGGCACAAACAGACTGCTGTGTCTTCAGGGCCAGACAGGTTTATCTTCTGTTTTCTCAATTCTTCGCTCAAAGTGCCGTATTTTTCGCCGAGTCTTGTAGTTTAAGATGTTATTCCTTCAGCACCGCTCTGGTGGAGCCACTACAGACGCACTGGACTCACCCCTGAGCGCGGCGCTGCGGCGTCGCGTCGCGTCGCGGCGCGACGCGACGCGACGCGGAGCGGCTTTTTAAAATGTAACTTTATTATATTTTTACATAAATGAGCCACGGGCCGTGTCAAATCTCTTGGCGGGCCGGTTCCGGCCCGCGGGCCGTATGAATGACACCCCTGGTTTACAGCAATCATGTCTGAAAGAACTCGAAAGAGAGAACATGTGATTGGTCCATAATAGACTGATGCAGAAGGAGAGAACATGTGATTGGTCCATAATAGACTGATGCAGAAGAAGAGAACATGTGATTGGTCCATAATAGACTGATGCAGAAGGAGAGAACATGTGATTGGTCAATAATAGACTGATGCAGAAGGAGAGAACATGTGATTGGTCCATAATAGACTGATGCAGAAGAAGAGAACATGTGATTGGTCCATGATAAACTGATGCAGAAGGAGAGACCATGTGATTGGTTCATGATAAACTGATGCAGAAGGAGAGACCATGTGATTGGTCCATGATAAACTGATGCAGAAGGAGAGACCATGTGATTGGTTCATGATAAACTGATGCAGAAGGAGAGACCATGTGATTGGTCCATGATAAACTGATGCAGAAGGAGAGAACATGTGATTGGTCCATAATAGACTGATGCAGAAGGAGAGAACATGTGATTGGTTCATGATAAACTGATGCAGAAGGAGAGACCACGTGATTGGTCCATGATAAACAGTAGAAATGTCCCTCACCTTCAGAATGTGACATTTCAGAATCCTCCGGGAAACTTAAGTTGGAGGAAGTGCTGGGTCTTGAAGATGGTTCTGTCGACGTAAAGAGAAAAATAAATCCAAGAGTCTGACTGCAGTACTAAGAGAATAACTGCAGTAATAAGAGTATAACTGCAGTACTAAGAGTCTGACAGCAGTACTAAGAGTCTGACAGCAGTACTAAGAGTCTGACTGCAGTACTAAGAGTCTGACAGCAGTACTAAGAGTAGAACACCAGTACTAAGAGTCGGACAGCAGTACTAAGAGTCTGACAGCATCCATTTTAAAGTTGACTTTCTTTAACCTTGAAATGTTGAGGTCTGAGAATCTTCATCCAAACTTGCTTGTTGTGGCTCTGGATCTACAGGATCGTTCTGCAGAAAAACACACACATTTTATCATCAATTATCATTTGCCTTTTATTCCCTGTCCATGTGTAGTTTCTCAAATCTGTCAGTCTCTGATGTCCAAATACCTGAGGACTTTGAGGAGCACGGCCCATCAACTGACTCACTTTCTGATTCTGTTTCTTCGATTACTTTCTCTGTAAAATTCAAGCTAAATACATAAACATATCAATAATAAGATTTTGATTGTTTAATTACCTTGAGGATCAATCTGGATCTCATCCAGATTCTTGCCTTTGTATTTACTGATAGATCCCCTCGCTAGTGCCATGAGCACTTTACTGATTTTAGCCAATTGCAACGTTCCTTCAGGCAGTCTGTAGTACTCCCTGTGAACTCTAATGTCGTGGCCCAAGAAGCTCGACAATTCGTCCATTTCATTGTCTTTTAAGTTGAGTACCTTTGACATTGTGGCAACATGTTTCCTTAATTTGGTAGGATTATTAGCACCACAACTTTGTGCAACTTGTCGGATTGCATCAGATCCTCTGTAAAAGCTGTCTTTTGTCTTTGGTTTTGCAAACATGTATACATTTTCGTCTAACACGTCGCAGCTTTGGCGTGCATCAAGAAGCATTTCCATCGATCGGCACATGTTTGGCGTAAGCAGCAATGGCACCTTATTTGCCAGCTTTTTAGAATGCAACGGAAGCTCAATGATTTTTGCTGCAGCAGCAGAGTGAAAACGTAAACATGTGAGGTCACATTTGCTGAGCATGTGATAACTTTTTACGGTTGTCATTTCATTTACAGAGTTTGAGTAATACGGAAAGTTTTTAGATCCAAAAACAGCAGTTTTAAAACTCCATATACTTTTTCTTTGTAAACGCACTCATAGGGGTGAGCGATATGGCCTAAAATTCATATTGCGGTATAATTTGGTGTGTGAATTTCAATATAGGTCTAGCAGGCTCTTGAATGAAATAGTCAAGATTGTTACTTATTTATATTTTAGAATCTAATATATATATATATATTTTGAGTTTGAAAATCAGGTGTGAGACAA